TAGAAAAGCTGAGATAAGAATCCTAAGGCTTGTTATGCGTCGGGAAGCAGGGCAAGGTGGCCTCTACTTGGCCTAGTGCCAGCTTCGGAAGAGTGAGAATTTAGCAGATGTGCATCTTCTGGTCTTGCTTTGCTCAGGTAATTTTTTGGGTGGCTTCTGGAAAAGCCTCACATCTTTAATACCTGACTTGACTACCACAGTGACCAGGGCATAGATCAAATCAGGAACCAGAATGACCACGGCCAGGGTGGTGCATGCTTATAACCCCAGCCCCTGGGAGGCTGAATCACTGCCAGTTTGAGGCCAGCCTGGACTGTGTAGTGAGTTCAAAGCCAGCCTAGACTGCATAGTGAAACTCTGCCTAAAAAAAAAAAAAGAAAGAAAAGAAAAACAAAAAATAGGAACCAGAACGACTCTCCTGAGAGTCTCTCCTCACAGGTGCCACGGACCTCAGGACCTGTGCACAGGCTCCTTTGTACCTGCATGTGTGCAGCACCTTCCCTCCTTAACCTTCCTACTTCACTGCACTGATTTATTCTTAGGATTCATATGAAAGGCTTAATTCCTTCTGAGAGCCCTGCTGGCCCTCTCCTGAGCCAGGCTACCATTGTGTGCTTAGAGCAGCAGCCACGCTTCTTTAGGGTGTCACTGTTACAGTTATTTCTAATTTGTTAATGTTGGCTTCCCTTGGTAGGCAGTGAGCCCCCAGAGCAGGGACACACTGGTCTCGAGTGGGCCGTGTATGCCAGCACTTTGTACTTGCTAACACATATTAACCCACCTACTGCAAGGAAGATGAGTCCTTTCCCTTAACGCCAGCCAATAACCTCCATTGAGTAGAAAAAGGGATTATAACTACATTTATAAATCTCTCTTGAGTGTCTTTGGCAGAGAGCCATGGGTGTGGTGGCACACAGCTGTAATCCCAGCACGCAGTAGACTGAGGCATGAAGATCACAATTTCGAGGTCAGCCTGGCGACATAATGAGTTTAAGGCCACGCTGGGCTGCTTAGCAAGGACCCTGCCTCAAAAGAAGAGGGGGAGGGGAGGCAGGAAAGGGAAGGGAAGGAACTGAAGAGCCCAGCCCTGTGTCTGATGTACAATTGGTGACCACGAAAGGCTGATGGTTACAAGGACTTGGGGTGCTGCCAAGAGCTCTAGTTACAACCATGAGGCTAAAGGCAGTGAATTAGTCGTAGGAACTAAGTGCATTCCTTTTTCTTTGGTTGGTTAGTTTTGATTTTTTTTTTAATGGTGATTTATTAGTTGTTGGTTTTTTAATGTATTTAGTACAGGGTCTTACTACACAGATCAGACTTGTAGTGATCCGCCTGTGTTCAGCCTCCCAAGCCCTGGGATTGCAGGCGGGCACCATCATGCCCAGTCTCAGTCACCATCTCAGTGCATCCCTGGGGCAGGGCCAGCACGGCAGGCCAGAGATGGAACCCAGCCCCTGCGTCTGCCTCAGTAGGCACTTTAATATGCTGAGCTGTCTGGCTGGCCCTTGGGTTTGATTTTTGCTGCTCCTGAAATCATTAGGTAGCCTGGGCTGGCCTCAGTCTTGTACCGATCCTCCTGCCGTAGCCTCCCCAGTGCTGGACCAAGTGCATTCCTGGTCCCCACCCATGCCCCGGCTGGGCTCCCGGGGAAGGTCTGCAGCTCAATTGCCAGTTCCCATATTGACTTATTTGTATACAAACAGTTTCCCCCCATCAGCTTCTCTTCACCAACATCCAAGATAATGATATACAATCTTTGTAACGCTGCAGACATCACTTCAGAGACACTCCGTTGCTATAGGAATGTTTGTGATGTGCTTATTGCTAGAATCTCATGAACAGCAAGCTCCAAAATTGCAGATGATTGGGCTTTTTGAAGCAGGGAGTGAGAGTGTGTATGTGATTGCATTAAAGAGAAACAAAACAAGCCTTTGGAAAGAGAAGTTTCCTTGTGCAGCGTTATTTTCTTCTCAAGTTGAAGATAAGAATTCCTTAAAAGCTGGGCATTTAGGGCGGGGAGCACTTTCCCCCTAGATGTTCAGATGGGTGAGCGTGGCTTGCGGCTTTCCCTCAAGCCCGGAGGCTGTGGGTAGGCAAGGGCTTCAGGAGCTGGCTGCCACAGACAAAGGAATTCTCAATTTTTGAAAAAAAAATCATTTTTTTTTATAGCACTAAGTATAAGAATGAATACCAGCAACACTCCCTGTCATTTGGAAAGTTCTCTTTTCTGAAACATCCAGGGTTTTTTTTTGTTTCTTTCCTAGTACTGGGGATTGAACCCAGTACCTTCACCCTGAGCTCCATTCCAGCTTCTTTTTATTTTTTATTTTGGGACCAGGTCTCACTGCACTGCTAAGATCCCCAGGGGGGCCAGAATCTGGGACCCTCCTGCCTCAGCGTCCCTGATTGCTGGGATGATAGGCCTGTGCCACTGCACTCAGGGCCCAGGGCCCAGTTCATTTTCTTGTGGCTTTTTCCCCCCGGTTCATTTTCCTAGAGAGCGCCTCAGGAGGCAGCCCGAGGCGAGGCCTCCTGGCGTGGGAGGGAGGACGAGCACAGGGTGGCACAGAGTAGTCTCTCTGCGAGCTGTGTGCTTTGTCCTCTGAATGCAGACGGTTGCTGCCACTGTGAGACAACCTGAAGCCACACTTTCCCAAAGTCCCGGCCACACTTGTCCTTCCTGGACCAACCCCGACAGAACTAACTCACCATCGGCCAGAGCGTGAGTGACTCCCGAATCATTATTCCTAGGGTTCCTCTCTGCACCCAGCTACCCACCAGCCGCCTAGGCAGCTCAGGCCGCATGGCACAAGTGTTCACGGAGCCCTGCCCCTTGGCTGTGGCTCTGGCCCAGCGCTGGGCTGCGCTCTGCTTCCCAGTCCAGGGGCCACGAGAGAAGCACAGAAATCAAGAGCACCGTATGCTGGGTCCCATAGTTAGAAAGTGGGCTTGTGGGACGATCTTTGTATGAGTATCTTTTTATTTGGTTTTGTGGCAGGTCCTTTTTACACTGTCTCACAAACATATTCATCTGTGATGGTTTAGAAATTAAAATGATAAAAAATAAACACAATAGTTTGAGAAGCACTGTGCCATAGCGCTTGTACAAGATATGATCAAAAAACGCAGTGCATATTTAAGTTTTTTAAAAATATAGTACAGGGGCTGGTGAGATGGCTCAGTGGTCTAAAGCACCTACTTAGAACAAGCTTAGCAAAGCACAGGGACCACGGTTCGATCCCCCAGCACCACATGCCAGCCCACCCCGCCCCCTGGTGGGCTGAGCTGGACACACACACACACACACACACACACACACACACACACAAATAAATAAAATGTTAAAAATATATATATTAAAAAATAAAATAAAAATGTGTACATCCTACCAATTTGGTTTGAAACTGTCTCATTGCTATTTGTTTCTCAATAAAATTATTGGGGAAAATTGTAGTACAGTGGGGGCTAGTGAGATAGCTCAGGGGACCAAGCGCCTCCTTTGGCAAGCACAGGGACCAGGATTCGATCCCTGGTCCCGCATGCTGCACCAGCCCTGCCCCCAGGGTGCGCTGAGCTGGGACGGAGTATAGGTGTGGTGACACACTCTTGTCATCTCAGCACAGGGGAGGCTGAAAACAGGGAGATCACTAGGAGTCTGAGCTGCGTAGTAAGACCCTGTACCAAATACACAAAAGAAAAGATGCTTAAATAAATAAACATGTGGTACAGTGAGAAAGACACACTGCCGTGAATTCCCCTGAGAACACTGCCCCTTGCTTTGAACACACTCCTGCAGTGGCTCTTGCCACTTCCTGCAGCAGCTCTGACGTCCTCGTTCCTGAGTGTCTTTAGTTGTGCACTCGTGACTGCCTCGATGTCGTCCTGAATCCATTCAAAATGGTCATGTCATGCTCCTTTTGCAGTTTCAGAAGAGCCAGAATTCGCATGGTGCTGGGCCCAGTGAGTGCGGTGGATGAGCGTCCTGTCCTTGTGCACCGCTTTTCCATCTCGTGGCGCTGGACAGCAGCAGTGACCATATTTTTGATCACCTCAATATAAGGATGTGAGAGAGCTTCCAGAGCTGCTTCAGAAAGTGGCAAGGGAGGGGCCAGGGAGATGGCTCAGTGGAAGAAGCGCTTCCCTAGCAAGCTCAAGGGCCTGAGTTCAATCCCCAGTTCCGCCAAAAAAGAAAGAAAGAAAGTGGCAAGGGAGGCAGTGAGACAGCTCAGTGAACTAAGCGCCTGCTTAGGTAAGTGCAGGGACTGGGGTTCGATCCCCAGTACCGCATGCCGCACTGGCCCCACCCCTGGGAACGCTGTGCCAGCCATGGAGACCGGGCATGGTGGTGCACACCTGTAATCCCAGTGCTGGGGAGGCTGAAAACAGGAGGATCACTGCAAGTCCGAACTGTGTAGTGATGTGTTGAGGGAGATTTGTGAAAATGCCTTTTACTCTATTTTTCAAGTTTAAATACACACTGGGGTTGTTGTAAGTCATTTAGTTTTGTAAGCTGCCACAGCTCCCTTGCAAAAAAAAAAAAAAAGGACAGTGGATGAATTTTGCAAAAGCATAGCCCTTAGCAAATCATGTCATAGTGAAACATGTGCCGACCCCCACCTCGCTCCCACTTCTGAAAGCAGGGGCTGCTTGTCATTCATCTCGATAGCTTTAATTCCTCACCGTTGTAGGGCTGCAGGGCTTGGAGAGTTTGCTGAGAACACCCCAGGCCTTCCGGTAATGTCCAGCGTGGGGTGGTGTCGGCCAGCCAGGAGCAAAAGACAAGCAAGCAGCCAGCCCTGATGATGCTACTTGTTATCCCAGCTACTCAGCAGGCTGAGGCAGGAGGGCCACAAGTTTGAAGCTAGTCTGGGCTACATAGTCTCAAAGTAAAATTGAAAACCAAACAATTGGAGATTGAGGATGTGGCCCTGGGTTTGATCCCAGCACCACATACGCAAAACAAAAGATAAGGAAGTGACCTCTCCTCCTTTTCCCTGCAGGTCTCCTCTTCCCACCTGACAGCAGCATGACAGCAGCATGACCCGGCGGCCGCAGAAGTCCCCCGAGCCAGGCGCCCCTCTCTGCCACCTGCTGCCCCAGTCCAGGTGAGCCTGCTTCTTTCTACAGGAGGCGACGGCGTCTCACCTCAACAGACTGTGTGTTTGCACAATCCCTCATGCTTGGAGGACGAGGTTCTGGGACACGGGACCTCAGAACTGTACACCTGCTGACAGGCAAAGCAGACGCTACAGGTTGTGTGTCTGAGGTGGAGCCCTGGGGACTCCTCCAGCATCTCCTGCATCTGGGACCTGGGTTAAGTCTTCAGGAAGTTTGGGTGGAAGAAAGACTCCTGATCAGCGAGCTGAGCCTCCCAGGAAGGGACCCAGGAGATCCCTGTCCCACGCGGGGGTCCTGGGCTATTGGCCCCTTGCTAACCAGTGCTGGGCAGGTTCATAGTGGAAAACCTTCCTAACACGGAGAGAGGGTCTGCTTCCTGTCTGCCAATCCCTGCTTTGCCATCTGTCACCTCCTGTGCCTCTGTCTCTGGATGTTTTTGGAGATGGTTGCTCTTTTGTGTATGAATTCTTCTGCGAGATGGGGCCCGTTCACTGTATCCTCGTGTCCCTCTGTCTTCCCTGCCACCTGCTCACACACCCTGTGCCATCTCAATAGAGAATTCTTCAGTCTGGGGTCACTCTTCAGGGACTGTCAAGAGTCCCTTTGAACTAGGTTCTGTACTAGATAGATCCAGGAGGCATGGCCATGAGTGAGGAGGACAGGCTCACTGTCTCTTTCTTTCAAAGCTGGGGATTGAACCCATTTTTGCTTGAACATGAGGCAGGTGCTCTAACCCTGAGCCACACCCAGCTCCTGGGTCTCTGCATTTGTTTACTTTTTTTTTTTTTTTTTTTTTTTTTTTTTTTTTTTTTTTTTTTTGGCAAGGTTTCACACTACAGTACAGGCTGGCCTTGAGCTCACTTTGTAGCCCAGGCTGGTCTTGTGTGCCACGTTCCTCCTGCCTCAGCCTCCTGTGTGCTGGGATGCGCCACCACTCCCAACTGTATATTTATTTCCTTTTATGGTACTGGGTATTGAACTCAGGTAACATTGAACTACCTCCCCAGCCCTATTTTTAGTTTTTCTTTTGAGACAAGGTCTCACTAAGTTGTTCAGTTCCCCCGATGGATCTTGAATTTGTGATCCTCATGCCTCAGCCTCCCAGAGTGCAGGGATTACATTTATGCACGTGCCACCTCACCTGGCTCTGCTTTTAAAAGCCAAAACAGAGGGCAAAGGATGTAGCTCAGCAGCAGAGAGGTCCTGAGTTCAATTGCTGGTACCAAAAAGGAAAACCCAGATTGGCTTTTTTGTATATTTCAAATGTGCACTGTGCTGCTCATTATGTCTGCCTTCCTTTTTATTTATTTTTAATCATTCATTTATTTGTTTATTTATTTATTTATTTATTTATTTGGTGCAGGGCCTCACTATGCAGTTCAGACTCATAGTGATCCTCCTTTCTCAGCCTTCCAAATACTGGGATTACGGGCATGTGCCACCATGTCCAACTTCTGTTGTTTGTTTGTTTATATACCAGAGATTGAACTCAGGACCTTGCACTTTTGAGTCAGGCACTTAAGCCACTGAGCCATCTCTCTAGCCTCACTCCCAGTTTGGGGCCAGCATAGCTCGCCCAATCCAGCACAGCATGCAGTACCTGGGATCGAACCCTAGTCCTTGTGCTTGCCAGGCAGTCGCTTAGACCACTGAGCTATCTCCCCATGCTGTATTCCTTCTTTATATTGTATCTTCTTTAAACTCTTTTTCTTAAATGTTCCTTAAGTGCTTGAAAACTGTTTTCTTTGTTGTGTTTTGTTTTCTGTATACAATCATGAAAGTCAGCTCCTTCGGCTGTTCAAGTCATCTAAACTGGGGGTCCCCACCTCCTGAGCCAGGCACGGTGGCAGGAGGTTCAGGGAAGCATCCTGTGTTTGTCACCACCTGAACCCCATCTCCTGTCTGATCAGGAGTGTGAGATTCTTGCAGGAGCACAGCCGCTGCTGCAAATGGTGTGCTGCGCATCCTCGGGGCCCGCCCGCCCTGCGACCGTAACACCAGCCCCCCTTCGTGGAAACCCTGTCCTTTGCAGAACCTGGCTCTCGTGCCGAACAGCATGGGGACTGCTGAGCTCTCCGAGTCCTGTATATCCTTCTCTGCTTGTGTCTGATGAGTATGTTGATTCTTAAGAAAAATGTGTGAAAATCTCCCTCTGGGTTTGTTGGATGAGCCTAGCAAGACTCAGATGTTTACTTTCTGGTTTTAAGGCAGTGCTCCTTGGTGTATGCGGGTTTCCTCTTCTTCGTAAAGATGAATTAGGGTTTATTTTGACCAGCTTTCCATGCTTTCCACTTTTTCTGCTCTTTCTTGTCGAGTGAAGTGCCCTCTCCCCATCCTGTTTTCCATCTTCTTCTTTGGAATCCACGTGTTTTACATTTGTTCAGGCCGTGGTTACCTACCCAATTTAACAGGCCTTCTTCAAGTCCAAAGAGAACCATGTCTTGCCTTCCTGCCAGACAATATGAAAACCACAGATCAGTTTAATTGTAGTAGCTGCCTCTCCTGATTTACTGTTACTGCTCCAACTTAACTGTGATCTGTGTGTTCTCCTCCAACCCTATCCCCCCCCACAAATTAGACATCCTCATGTTATACAATGTTACTATAACTTTACCCACTTTCCAGTATTTTTCTTACTATTCTTCGTGAGCAGTGGGTCATTTTCTTTCTGCTTGAAATAAATCGTTTACCATTATCCTTTAGTGAAGATCTGTTGATAGGAGACTCTTAGGGTGTTCCTGTTTAGGTTTTATTTTTTGATGGTTTAGAAATGTCTTTATGCCAGTTTTGATGCTACAAGGTGACTTTCCTGGATGTCTTGACCTGGTGCTTTGTCATTGTCCTCCAGCCTCCGGTGTGGAGTTGAGAAGCTGGCTGTCAGTCTAATGCCTGTTCCTGTGGTCTGGCGCTTCTCTCTGGCTGTGTTAAAGATGATTGTTTTCTTTGAGGTTCTGCAGAACCAGGATGCATTCAGGTTTAAGTTTCTCTCTCGCGTCTGCCTGGCTTTCACTGGGACTCCTAGAGTTAGAGATTCCAATCGTACAGTAGTTTAAGAAAGTCTCACCCTTCATTTCTGGAGCCTTGGTGCCTCACGTTTCACCCTCTCTTCTCTGTTTCTTGCCACCTCTGCTTTACGTTTTTCATCTGTCTCTCTGTGCTGAGCTCTGAATAATTTCTTCAGTTTATTTTCTATTTAGCTCATTCACTCTGTACCTTCAACTCCACTTAGTAAGTCCATTAAAGTTTTTCATTTCCTTTATTGGTCATTTCTAAATGTTCTGCTCCGTTGTTTTTTTAAATCTGCTTGGTGACTCTCCAGGTCCCTCGTTTCTTGCTCATGTTTGAAGACCTTTATTGCTGTAAAATGCTGAATTTGTTATAGGGAGATTTTATAAATCTCATGTCCGGTGATTGCAGAATCTGGAGTGTTTGCAGGTCTGGCTCTGGTGCTGGATGCTTTCGCTGCCTTGTTTCCTGTCGGCTGCTTGTTCTCCTTGGAACTCTATTCTTGAGAATCACTTGAGGTGTGTGCTGCAATTGGTCTCTCCAGAAATGATTTGCATTCAGTTTTCCTAGCTGTCTGGGGATGGGGTGTAGGGTGGGGTGGGAGCGGCTGTGGACCCCAAGTTGCTTGGGATTCATTCTCTGCCCAAGGCTTTCTGGCCACACACACAGTGTAATTCTGACTGCGTACCTTGAAAGTCCAGGTTATGGTTACACAATTTCAGAACAAACTTCTTCTCAGCCCAAGATGAAATCTTGCAGTCCCTTTTGTTTCTGTGCTTATTCCTTGGTGTCCAAGAATGGAGCTCATTGCAGTCCCTGCTTTTGAGGGGAGATGTCTCCCCCAAGCTTTGAACCCCGTGCAGATATGTGTCTAGGAAAGTCAGAACCTCCAGGGTTCAGCACAAACTCTTGAGACCAAAGCCAGCCTCAGTGAGAGCCCCCCTCCCTAGCTCTTTGCTTCCGGGGAGCGTTTGGTAGGTCTGTGAGGAGTCCTCCCCTTTGTGGGAGTTCAGCAGTGCACACTCAGTTTTACCGTGACACTTTATCCAGGGCATGCCCAGGAAGGTTGAGGAGAGCGCCTGGTCTGCAGTACCATGGTAGCCCCATTGGGCAGGAATTTCTGTTCTTTTTTCTCACAGAAGAGTAAACCGGGCTCAGAGAGGTTCTGCAGCTGAACCACATCAAGACCTAGCAGGGGAAGGATGGAGAAGGGGCTTCCCTCTCCTGGCCCCTACCCCATCTCCCCTCTCTCCAGGATAGCTGTGGCTCACTGGGCCATTAGCTTTCTGCTCACAGAGGATGTGAGTTTGTACCAGGGTGCTTTAAATAGCTGGACAGCTTTGTGAAATTTGTTTATGAATCTATTGTTTATTTTCCTTGAGAGAGGAAATGGCTTCTGCGTATCCTTGGCTCATTCCCGGTGCTCACCAGTGCCTTTCCTGCTTCGTTCCGCCCTTCAGGGGGCTCCTGGGACCCCACGCAGGCCGTGACTTCCTGTCCTCTTCTTTTTGTCTGCCCATCCCTCCTTCCTGCAACAGGGGCAGTGGAGTCTGCAGGCCACACTGATGTGGCTTAGGACGTAGGGTGCAAAAGCTGAACTTGACCACAGAGCCAGCATGTGTCAGCTTCTCATCTCTGGGGCCTCAGTTTCTCTGTCTGTCACTTGCTTCTTTGAAAGTAGTCTAGGCCCTCGGTCTTGACACTACGACCGGCGGCAGATCACTTCAGACTGGGTCTCTTATTCAGTGATGCTTTTAAATGATTTCTTAAAATGGGGTGGAAGTGGAGGCAGAGATGAATGTAGATGTAGGAGCACCCCACCCTCTGAGCCATGCACACACGTACACCAGCTTATTTTCTTTTTCTTTCTTTCTTTCTTTCTTTTTTTTTTTTTTTTTTTTGTTTGTTTGTTTTTGCAAAACCGGGGATTGAACTCAGGCCCTTGCACTTGCCAGGGAAACGCTCATTCCACTGAGCCATC